TTCCAATAAATCCATTCCCCATAAAATGGACTAATTCTTTGTCAAGGTATAAAACAGTTACTAGGATTGCTTCCTTCTTTCCAGTTGTTATTTGTACCATAATATGTTTAAAATCAAGGAAAAGGTAGGACAGAAAAAAGTTATAAAATGTTCATATTAATTAATTTTACATGTATTGTAACATTAAACCATCATGAATCAATACCTTTCCAAGTTGTGAAACTATATATTGGAAATATCCTAACATTTTCAATAAAAGTCTGTTTTTCTTTGTTAGTATTTGCATCAAAATCAAAGTAAAAGATATAATAAGTATACCCTATCTAGTAGTTACTTTCAAAGAATACAACACAAATTTGCTTAATTTTCCAAGCCTACATATTTCATATTATCTTCTCTTTTCAGTTTTGGCTAGCACTCATTTTATTATTTTTATTTTTTATATTTTGTGGCTGGCTCAGCCCATCCTGGGAGCAGAGCTAGCACAGAATGTGGTGCCCAGTATCCAGCTGTGGTCCCTGCGCTTGCCTAAGCTTACCTAAGCAGACACTGCAGTGCACTGAGCTATCTCGCTGGCCCTAGCTAGCTCTCCTTTTTAAATGATAGTCTTTCCTTTGAAGTTCTAGGGTCAACAAAAATGATACATTTTTCTAGTAGTCTTAATTATGAAACAAATTAGAGATATAAGAAAAGCTATAGAAACTTAGAGATATAAAAAATATTCACAGTTCTTATAGAACTATTAATTTCCAATAGTATTATACAACATAATGAATAATATTTTATTCATGGATTTAGGTATGTATAGCTTAAATTTCATCATCATAGTTAGATATGTAGATCAATAAAGCAACACATTATATAGTCATAAATTTACACAGGAAGTTGATAGTCCCCTCAACTTCCTGGACATTCTACCAGAAAGCCTAGATACAGATAGACAGAAAATTTATTGTTGTTGGTTTTTTTCTTCTACATTTAGGACAGGGTCTACAGGGACTACAGGATCTCACTACACAGATCGGACTCATTGTGATCCTCTTGTTTTCAGCCTCCCAAGTAGTGGGATTACAGGTGTACTCTACCACACCCAATCTGAAAATATGTTATTTTTAAAGTATTGAATGCTATAAAAGAAACGAAAGAAATAGGAGTAAAGAAAAAGGAACAGTAATGCATTTTGTGTCTAATAATACTTGCTCAAATTCAGTGTGCAAAGCAATGCACCACCATTCAGGTTCTTAATAAGTACTTATTAAATAAGCTATCTAAGAAATGACACCTTGCTTTTAAAATTTTAAAATATAGGTTGACAACATAAACATAAACCATAAATATACTAAATGTGAGATATTGAGAATTTCTTTATGTAGTCATGTGTACTTAGTTACAAAATCAAGGAATGTCTCACAGCTATTTTTTTAAAGAGAGAAAACAATAAAAATGATACAGAATTTCTAAACAATGTGATAAATTAACAATAGCTATTCTATTGTACTTTGTTATCTTCAAAATAGTTGCTCAGATTACCAGATACAGATCAAACAATATAAGCACTAACTGTTCCTTTCAATGAACTCAAAGAAATTAGTAGTACAGTTATCCTGGCTATCTCTTGTGTACATACATATCTGTTTTTTCCCCTTCCTTTTTTTCCACTTTCTCCCATCCCAGTTCTTTCCTTTTGAGCATATTCTTTCACTTTCACAATATCATTTTACATTTTGAATAAAAGGAAATCTCTTTCATCTTCTTACACTAAGGAAACACTACAATGTTTACACGTGCAAGTCTGATTTACTTTACTTGTGAGTACTGTCTCTAGTTGCATCCATTTACCTATAAAAGAAACATAAACTTGAGGTTCTCATAGCTAATATTTTTTAAATTTATTTGGTACAGGGTCACACTACGCAGCTTGAACTCATAGTGATCCTCCTGTTTTCAGCCTCTCCAGCACTGGGATCACAGACATGCACCACCAGCTGGGAATTGGTTTCCAGCTCAGGGGAACCAGGGGGAGGGACCAGAAAGGCATGTGGTTCAGGAGATCAAACCCCAGTTCCTGTGCTTGCCTAAGCAGGCGCTTAGTCTGCCAAACATCTCACCAGCCTCTCATAACTAATTTTAATCAATTAATATGTTTAACAGCTACAAATACAGCCTAACAGACTTCTCTTTCAAGAAAAATTGAACCATGATCATGGCTCATTACAACATATAAAGTAGCTCACTTCCAACATATAGTAATTATTTAATCTATAAATTTAAACTGTTCAGATACATAGCTATTTTTCTGTATAATATACTTTTCAAAATAGGTTATTGAGGTCAATTTTATTTATTTATGTACTCATTTAGTTGTTTTGAGACAGGGTCTCATAGTATAGTTCAGGATTGCCTGAACTTCACTCTGTATTTCAGGCTGGCCTTGAATGTGTAGTTATCCTCCTGCCTCAGCCTCACGAGCTCTGGGAATGCAGGTGTGTGCCACCATGCCTGGCTAGAACCAATTTTATTATTAATTTAAATCTTAAACCATTAATTATGCTCCCAGGAACTGCCTAAGATCCTGGAGATACAAACAAAACAACAAACAAAAAAACTCTAGCTCCTTTTGTTGAGTAAAAGAACAATGTAGTGTAATAGAGATAAAAGCATTCCACATCAAAAACAAAAGAAGTGAACTGAATAAGATGCAGAAAAATAAGGGAGATGTATATTTGGTTCACAAAGGAAAAAAATCTAAGCTTAATGCTATGAATGGTTTGAAAGTCATACCATCTTTCTCCATGGAGGAGAAATGCTTTTAGATGATGGTAGTATCTGAATCAACTAAACAAAAATTCAGATATACTGGACACTTTTTAAAATTGAAACAAGAAGTGAAAGCCTACCTCTATTTTGTAAAAATAAGAGCCCAAATGCATTATATCTATTGATTAGAAAAACTTTCTGGGCACTGTAATCCCTGTTTTTTGTTCTGTTTTTTTTTTCTGAGAGATAAGTACAATAGAAATCCACATATTATGAAGATTTTATTCATCTGCTTAATTTTAAAATTATTATGCCTTAGAGAGTCATTACACAAGGAGAACTAGAGATTCCAAATGGAACCTGAGTTCCTTCTACCGTCGTTGGCATTATTTAAGCATTAAACTACCAAATATTCACTTTATTGGCAAGTTATACCAACAATGGTGATTGGTTCATTAATATTTTTCTCTCTGTCTCTCGCCCTCTTGATTTAATGTCAAACCTTGTGTTAAAACCACAGAAATGATCAGAATGCACAAACTGGCCACATAATTATCAGGCACCAAAATGCAATGAGCATTTGGTTCAGCCCAGTCATCAGAACAGTGGTGGAAAATAAATTATGTGGCTGAAGTTTGCAAAGTTATAATGGGTTATTTTAGTTATAAGAATTGCCTTATCAAAATATTCAGCTATAAAACATTAGTTTATAGGTTAAGTACTATAGTCATTCAAAAGTACTACTGTTCAAATGCAGTATCCAAATTTCTAATTCCAAAAAGGGTCAGTAATAACAATATGAATTATAAGAGAAATGTACGTTAAAAATAGTTTTAAGTACAAATATTTCCAAGAACATTAATAGAATATGTTGTCTCTTACTCTATCTGAGTGTCTTTAAGATTCTATATTTCAGTTTTTTTAATTTACCAATGTTAGTTCATAAAAGTTTCAAGCTTTACTTCCTGAAATTAAACTAACAGTTTTTGAGTTTTCTTAAAAATGAAAATGATGTCGATTAAAGTTCATAAGGTTATTAAATGTTACTGATTTCATATCGAACTACAAACTTATACTCAAAAAGTATTTTGTATTGTCAGAAAAAATTAGTTTTAAAATACTGTTCATATTTATAGAAATAAAAAATTGTAAGTCTGCATAGGAAGAATTTAAATGAGCTACAAACATAAGAATAGAAAGCATTTCTATAAGTGGTCAAATATTTTAAAATACAAAGTAAATTTATAATTACAATATTGTGAGGCTATACACATCTTCTTATAAAAACTTTAAGCAAGAAAACTAAGGACTTATTAATATAAAAATTAAGTGGAAAAAAGACACTGATATTTAATTTTTTTAACCTTTTATTTATGTATTTATTGAATACAGGTTCTCCCTATGCAGCTCAGACTCCTAGTGATCCTCCTGTCTCAGCCTCCCTATTGCTGAGATTATTGTCATCTGCCACCATGCCTGGTATCAGGTAGACAAAGCACGCCCAGAGTTCCAGGGCTGGCAGGGCATGAGGTACCAGGGATAGAGCCTGGCAGTGTGTGCTTGCTCGGCAGGCACTTAGACCACTGCGCTATCTCCCCAGCTCCCATATTTTCTTTTTTCTTTTTGGTACAGGGAATCAAACTCAGGACCTTTCACTTGCCATGCAAGTGTTATGCCACTGAGCTACTTCCCTGACCAACACAGATATTTTCAGACATTCATTACTGTAGATAATTAATTATGCCTTCCACAAAGTCAGCGAAGATTTTTGTAAGTGAATTGGGCTAAATATATTGAAGCAAAAATCTCACTTACTCTCTAGTTAAAAATACCAGCTAGTATTATGAAACTCATATTAGCCGTATTTTGTCTTTCATAAGATGCTTTCTGACCTTTGCTTCCCTTGCTTGCCACATTCACGCGTTCCCCTAACTGTGATGGACTTCAAGGAACGAATGTCTCATTGTTCTACTCAGGTAGAAAAAGGCCATTTGTCCTGAATCAGATGAGCATTAAACTTATTGTATCAATTTAAGAATCATAAACATGATCAGGAGTCATTTTGTGAAATACAAATTGCACCAAATATTTTTTTTTGTTATAGAATAAATAATATAAAACAGCAGTCAAGTTCTAAACTATTACCCTTGTTTGGTTGTAAACATAAAAAATCTTTTCATTTGTGTTTTAGTATGTCAAAATTGTGTTTTGAATTGGCAAATAAATAAATAAAAGGTAGTTACCTTTTCCAACTGAGCGTTTTTTTTGGATTTATATAAAAACTCTCCCACAGCCACAAAAACCGAGAGCACCAAGCCAGCTGCAAGAACAATGAAGATGCCACCAATGTTCTGGACCCCCAGGGCGCTGGCCTCCTTGCTCTCCTCCTCGGGGCAGCCATTTCCCCTCCACCACTTCTCCTTCATCATGTGCAGCTTGCCTTCCTCCTGCAGCTGAAGAATGGCTATGGTGATTTTGTCTCGATACGGAGAACCTGTAGAGAAGATAGTCAATCATTTCAAAGTCACAGAGGTTCATGTTTAAAGGTTAGCCTGGTGAGAGTAGAGAGTTCACTAGAGAATGTTCATGGTCATCTTGAGTAGAGAAAGCCAGCTGCAAAAAAGAGTGGCAGTTTACTATGAAAAATAAAGCACAGGACTCTGAGCAACAAGAATTTTTATTTTCAATAAAGAAAATGTTTCCACTATAATGTAGATTTAGCTCAGAGCATTGGGAAAGAAATCAGACAAGAACTAGGAAATCAAAAAGAGAAACTAGGTGGAGTAAAAAGATGTTTAATTGATATCTAGGCAGAGTTCTACACTGAAATCAGAGCACTGATAAAAAACAACAGCTTCTATTTTAAGGAAACTTGAGGAGAAATTGGTGTTTCCTAAGATTAAATATAAAACTGTAAAGTTGTCATGATTAACAATCTGCATCAAATAGCCTCTAATATTCACGGATAATGCCCATTCACCTTTATTCACTCTTTGATGTGAATTTAAATGAGTCACAGAACATACAGGGTTGATTCAAAAAGAAATCATTACAGCAATGAAAGTCATAATTCAGTGACCCTATGACCTGACATTGTAGGTTTTTGTTTCTCATTTTATGCTTGGAAGCAAAAGGTTCTTTCCAGTGGAAGTGAAAATACCATGAAATCTGATATTTGTGTTTACCAGGGTACATATTCGTCTGCAGTAACAGCTACACAATAAATATTATGCTTGCTAATCGGATGCTCAGACACACAAAAAAGTACTGATCTATAGGCGTCTTTATCTGTCCCAAGGGAGTGGTCTTACTGCTTTCTCTCTCCCTGCAATAGCCTGCTTCTCAAGTGTAATTTTCCTTCCTAGAACACATACTTCACATTCCATTTTTCTGCACAAATTCACACAGTATGCTTTCTTGATAAAGAAAAAATACTAAACATTTCAGTTTTTCTTCAAGGTTGCCTGTAATTACATGTATAAATATATCTGTATCTCTAATCTTTTAGCAAGAGTAGACATTAAGCTCAGACAAAGAAAAGAAGTAGTGTCCAACGGACAGTGAGAGAAAGGAAAATCTAACAAGCCCAACTGATGGGCAGCTTCTTTAGAACAGTCCTCTATCTGCACAGCTTTCCTAAAAGAGGATATTGACCTCTTTGTGCAATTCTCATTAGTCATGCATTCCTTCATATATTAGGGGAACTTCTCCTTTTCCCTTTCTCTCCTGTGCTGTCTTTCAAATTTTACTGAATGCCAAGGATCAGTATGAATTCTGCATTCCTGCCTACCCACTTCAGAGCTCAGGGTATTAGCTCGGCCATTCCACTTACTAATTTAATTGCTCAGTCACTATATCCTCATTCAATGCAGTCTAATATCACGCTTTGCCTATCTAAATGTATGCCATGGACCTGAATTTTAAGCTTTTTGGACAGGAAGTTGTCTGTGCACCATCCGCCTAGTCATTTTCAACTCTCAATCATTCTTCACTTAATAGGCTCTGTGCAAATGTTTCCTTATTGTAAGGCAAACAAGACCCCATGAAAGGCATCCTTAACAATGTGAGAGAAACACTTTTGTGATTTCGGTTTCTATGACTGTTAGCATAAATTAGAGTTTTGCTCTTCAATTTCATTAGTTCACTCAGTCTAGCCTAGTACTTGCTGTAACGTCACTTTTTCTCTGAATAACCATTCTTATTTATGTTCTCTCTGTAAAATAAATATAGATTGAGAGAGAATAATTTCCCTTTAAAGGAGAAAAGCAGTTTATTGATTGTGTTTTTCAATTAGAAAAGCAGTATCTGAATCAAATCTTGTGCTGAGAGCACTTGTAAAAATAGCCACAACTACTGAACATGAATTTGCAGTTTATCTTCTGGAAGTAAAGTTATACATAAGATTTGGGAAGCAAGTAGACTTTTAAATTCAAAAAAATTATTAATCCAGCTAAGTACTTTATGCTAGCTCACTTCTTATGTCGAAGATGATTAAACTAACATTTTATTATCAATTTTCCACACCTACTAAAATGCACTGGGATGTTTGTTTGAATGTTTTTGAACAGTATTCCTCTCTCTATTTTGAAGAACAAAATAAAGCAAACTATGAAAATGAAAGCAATCCAGCAATGATGATGAATAAAAAATTTTTCATTGCTAGCAACTTCAGCACATTTGCTTCCTAGACAGGAAAATGCATAATTGATATTTCATTGTAGCCAAACCTCCAAAGGTGACACCCTTCATTTTGAGTTTCAGTTTTATTAAACTAGGTGAGAGTTTTAACACAGCATAACTATAAAAAGTATGTATGTGAGATGAAAAGAAATTGTTCATAACTTGCTACACTCTAAATACGGGCAAATAAGTTATTTTTTTCAAAACATTATTCAGATAAGCCAAATACTTTTTTAAGCTGAATTTTGTCCCTATTATTATTATTATTATTATTATTATTATTATGCCATCTTCGATTTTTTAAAAATTTCTTTCTCTCATGGGATTTTCTCGGCTTATTTAAACACATTCTCCATATTGGAAATAAGGAAATGATTAATTTTAGAAGTCATCTCTTACAGATTAACCAAATACCTCATTTACAAGGTAAAAAGAGTGCTAGCTTGCATAAATAGAGAGACAACTGACAGGCAGAGGGAGAAAAGATGAACAAAGGAAAGGAATGCAGCACTGTCTCATGAGAATTCCCATCCCACCAAGATCGCCACACTTTTTTCAAGTTCTGTCAATATTATTTTGGGTGCAAGAATTATAAGGACTATTTATTTATTTATTTATTTATTGGTGGAATGGGGGATTGAATTCAGGCCCTTGCACTTGCCAGGGAAGCGCTTATTCTACTGAGCCATGGCCCCATAAGGATTATTTAAATATCTATCTTTACAAAAACAATTAACCAATGTTTAAAAGGAAGTAAATGTATCTAGCTGTAGTTCTTCCAATAGCAGCCAAATTGTTTCAACATTTTTTCAAGCCTAAACTATTGCTGATGTTCATAATGACAAATACTCTGGTCATTTTACAAAGGATTTCAGTTTCCTTTATTTTATATTTCTTATTTATTCAAATAGAATGATTTCATTCTATTTTGAACATTATTTAGGATTAGGTAACATTTGTTTATTTAGTTAGTTAGTTTTAAGTATAGTACAGGGTCTACAGGGTCTCACTACACAGATAGGACTCTTAGTGATTCTCCTGATTTCAGCCTCCCAAGTGCTGGGATTACAGGTCTGCACCATCAGGGCATCTTGACTGCCATCTCAACATGCCCCAGGGATGGGGCTGGTGCAGCATGGAGGGGATTGAAACTGCGTGTGCCTAAGCAGGCTCTTTAATCTGCTGAGCTATCTGGAAGGCCCTATTTATTTTTACAAAATGCAGTAATATTAGATTCAATCAGATTGACATTTAATCAGATTGACATTTTTCAAAGTAATTTTCATTTAAAATGCAGTAATATTAGATTTAATCAGATTGACATTTTTCAAAGTAATTTTCATTCTGTGACATATACTAATTTATATTTCTTTTGGATATATAATTAGGGCAGAATCTTTACATATACAATATTCCAGGAGATCATTTTAACTAACTTTAATAATGCCTTATACTCCTCTTTTTGAAAGAATTTTAATCTGGTAAATATCCTCTAAACCTATACCTCAAACTGGAATCCCTTATATGTTACTTATGACCTGGCTACCAGTTTCTCAATACAGAGTTTTATTATCTCAAACAGTTTTACAGTCTGTTAAGATACAGCACTTATTTTCACATAGCACTACAATAAGTGTTATATTTAAACTGTAGAATAAATTTTGAACTACCATGTAGCAATTCTGATGTCCTAGTCAATCAGTAATGCTGTTTTATAATATAAAACTTTTCCCTTTTCCTCATCATAATGTGACTGAGTCTGTAAATAAAAAAAAAAATTTCTAGGCTTATTTAATACTTATGAATTTAGTGGACTGTGAATGCACTAACTACAGTAGTACCTGTTTTATTAGTATAAGTCCAGGTACATAAAACTTATTGAATTAATATGTGCATAAGTTATAGTCATTACTTAACAATTTTCCTTATGTGATTGTTTTATCTTAACCAACTGAAAGACTACAACCGATGAGCCCAAATTATATCTAAATCTTGAATATATACCTGAAAATGCATAAGATAATTTCACTACATTACAAAATGAAATATTTATCATACCTAATGCACTTCATGACCCTACTTCTAACTTCCTTAGATAGCCAATAAACTAGTATAAAGTTACTCTCAATGCTATGTATTGGGAATACAGCATTAAACACCCTTAATTTTGAAAGGGCTGTGAGGAATTCATGAGAAACAATGATACAAATAAAAGAAAACTAATTTTACTTTGAAAGTCAGTTTTATCACTGCACAACCCTTTAATCACAGAATGGTAAGTGACAGAAGATAATCAGCCATTTTGCACTCTAGTGAGTTTTCACTTGTA